GACTTCAGGGATATTCTCATAGTATATAAAGGTACAGAAAGCCTCAAATGCTTTAAGTTAATATTCAGAAGACCTCTAAGTGTTTTCGTTCTCCTCTTGCTAGGTGTTCTCACACACAGTTTCCAGTACAGCTTCTTCTGCTTTCTCTAATTGTGAAGAACATAGCGTTGGCTTTGGTCAGACTTCGTCACAAGTAGTGGCTTGCTTTGGGGACATTCTATTTGGAACCCGCAGCCCAATCTTTAAACAAAGGTAGCTAATCTCTTTAGCTGAAAGTTGTTTCCACCCTTTTAAACTTTCTTTGTTTATTGAAGGTTGCAGCTTAATTACTCCTTCGCTTTAGAAGGTACTCGAGAATCTTGTTGGTGATTGCATTTTGAGCTCTTAACAGATCTCTTTAATCATCTTTATACTTGAATCTGTTCAAACTCAATTCCTGATAATTGTTTTTAGAGATTTGCCTTTGCGTACAGTTGAAGCAGAGTTGCGTTGGGAACTTTAAAAAAACCGGTAGGACAACCAACTGATAATTGGTTTTTGTTAGACGCGATCTTGGGGTCTTTTCACTCTTCTTTTCCGCCACCTCAGTCATTTGGCATTCCTACACCCACCCCTATGTCGTTTCTGATTCCGAATTTCAATCTGTCTGTCTCTGAAGGTTGGTTTGAAAATGTCTTTCCCCTGCGGGTCTTACCTTCGACCTCAGTCATTTGGCATTCCTACACCCATCCCTATGTCGTTTCTGATTCCGAATTTCAATCTGTCTGTCTCTGAAGGTTGTTTCGAAAATGTCTTTCCCCTGCGGGTCTTACCTTCGACTGCAGATATCATGGCATGGCACATCTGTAGTGGACTTTTCCTCAAAAATAGTTACCAGTGTCGGGCTTTAAAGACTTGGTACCTTAAGTTTTATATCTTATTTCCGACTTATTCAATTCCCAGTCTTTACAGACCTAAGATACTGTGGATACGCTCGTCGATGGATTCTCGATGAACGATAAGGTGTTTTTTATATTCACAGGATCAATATATATTCGCTCTTCTGGACACCCAATTCATTCGTTACTTCTGAGGAAGTGGAGTGAATGTCAGGCTTACGCTTCTTCGACTTTGGCACATAAACAGGTGCTTATTTTTAGTCGCGATCTTGGTAATATTCTTGGTTACTTTTTCTGCACCTCGGAATGTTTTTGCTCAAGGACATCCACCAGTAGAGGGGTTATTTAGGCCGCACCATAACTTTATTCTTATTTCTAACAACTTCAACAGTTGGTTTCTTGATTTAGGGGAACAACCCAAGGAGAACACAATCCCCAAATGATCGTTCTTCAGGAGACCCAATACATTCGCTGCTTATAAGGAAGTGGATAATGTGTTACTCTCCTTCCACTTTGGCCCCTAAATATTTTTATTTCTATTAAAAAATATATACCCAGTTTTTCCGCTTACTGTACATTTGCACCGTTAACGGATGAACACATAAGGATATTTCTCAGCTGGCCTAAAGAACATGCATTCACCCATACACACTCAAATTGCAGCCCCTTCTACGCTTTAACATAGTTTTTTCTTCTTCTTCTTCTTCTAGTCTTCCCCATGCATGGACATTCCAAACATTCTCTCTCTATGTGTGTGTGTATATTTGTATGCCTGTATTTGCGTGTTTTCATGTTAACCATACAGTGTGTTATGGTTTTTCTTTATTATTATTATTTCTTGTTTTACTCTTGTTGTTTTTGTTGTAATGTTCTCCACATGAAAATGTCACGAATCACTTTTAAGTGTTAGATTGTACTTGTCTGACTTATTCAATTAAAAAAAAAAACATACAGCTCAATCTTGTGAGAGTTGTTTCCACATGGGAGATGAGCGAGTGAGATGGAGAGAGTATGAGTAAATATAATGAGGAAAAATAAAGCATCAAAAGCTGTGACTGTGTGTCTTACTTTGACTGTCACCTATGAATTGGTTGGTTGTGGTGTGAGAGAGAGAGGGAGAGAGTGTGGTTAAGGTGAGGGAGCTATCATGTTCTTTGTGATATTATTTGTTTTTCTTTGTTTTGTATTATTAACTGTGGGTAAGTAGTTTACTTCGGACCACATCACCGATTAGGCATCCCAGCAAACATTAGGCGCTTCAAATTTAATGTATCAAAAATAAAAAAATAAATAAAAATAAAATAAAAAAAATATTATAATAATAGTCATTTCGGGATTGGTTTGGGTTATGGAATCTTTTAAAAATACTTTGACCAGAAATTGAATTTCTAAGCTCATTGCCAGTCCTCAATTCTTCACAGATCAAATTGTATTATCCGAAGAGAATGCTTATCGACAAAAAAGTGTGTTAGAAATTAGGCTAAGCTAGATTAGTTTAAGTAGTTCTTAAGGAAAAATGTTTTACAATGAAATTAAAATTGAAAAGTTGCAACCGAAGCGAAAAGTTCGATTATTTAATTATTAAGCGATTTCTGTTTAAGCATGCTGGTGCATTGCTTCTGATACATATACTAAGTTTATATTTTAATATAATGTTGATTGTGGACTCAGCACTGACGTTAGTATCGCTGCTTCCCCACAGACAATGACTAGGTTACCAATGCTTCCCATCTTCTATTCCCGTCTTCTATTTGATATTTTAATGGTTTTTTTTTCGCATATTTTGAATCCCCACCACAATGTTGAGGTCCACCTCAGCCCTCTCAAGTTTAACAATGTTTTTACTTGTTTAATTTTTAATTGCCTAGAGATCCTAGCCACAATTTTTCTTTTTATTTTCAAAACTTGTCACTTTGAAAATGAACATGTCAATTTAGCACGAAACAAGACGAGTACATGCTGGCATTAATCAATTTACAACAACATTTAAATCTATGTTGTTGTTGCGGACAATTGCCAACCTTTGAAATAAAAAAAATGGCAACCACAATAGACATTCAATGACCTGGCTATCAAAATGGTAAATGTCTGATGGGTTGGTTGGTGGTTTCGATACTCATTTACAGCGTTATTCTGTCAGAATAAGTGAACAAAATAGTTCGGAGAAATATAACTTGGGGACATTTCAATGAAATATTCTATTCTATAGAAGCTTTAGAATTTCGATAGCTTGCTGATGTGATTAATGAAAATTTTCTCAGATAGTTTTCATTAGATAGTCCCCCTTGAAACTGCAGCTGTCAAGAGCAATATGATAGCAGGTTCTCCCTTATGATCTTATTTTTGATCGCATCTTTCACCTGATTATGGGTCTCCATTTATAGTTTTCCAGTCTCACTGTTTTTGTCGATCACTGCATAGCAGAGCTCGTAAATGTTGTGCCTTCTGGCAACCTTTGCATAAGATCCCGGTTCCTTCCATTTGTTGTCGCAGTCCTCCCCTTTCGTGATTTCTGGTTAGACATTTTGGAGTAACTGGATTTCACGGCAGATTCGGATGCATCGCTCGTCTTATTAATATCAGAGCCGGTATTGTCACCCTCAGTCAATGGATTTTGGTCATTTCCTTTGATTTCAGGTGGGCCAATCTTACAAATAATAGATCCCTGTTTAACTAAATTCTCTCTCTCTCCACAACACAACCAAAGTTGGTGATACTTTTTGGGGTTTGGATTTGGATCGATTGGCGTGAGAGACGATTTGACACATCACATTCCTACCATGGAAATTCTCAAAAATCCTAGCCAAATAAAGGAACGGGCTATTTTTTAGGTTTCCTAACACATACGTTGGGCGCCAGATCATTCGATTAAAAAACAACACATTTAATTGCAGTTTTGTGCATCTTTGGGCGATTTAAAATACCTTGATTCTGAATGATTCTCAAGAAGAGGTATTTATTTGAATTATTCGGTATTTCGGTAGCTGTCTGAGTGGAACCAAAGCTGTTGATTAGAGGCAACAGGTTCTCATCAAGACCAATGGGACTGTATAGAGACTACATGCCCTCGAAAAGATCAATTTATCTATATAGAGACCGCAGGTCCTCATAATGATCGATTAGTTTGTTTATAAGCCACATGTCATTATGAAGACCAATTTGTCTGTGTAGAGACCACAGGTACTCATAAAGACCGAAAGGTCTGTATAGAGACCACATGTCCTCATAAAGACCAGTTGGTCTGTATAGAGACCACATGTCCTCATAAAGACCAGTTGGTCTGTATAGAGACCACATGTTGTTATAAAGACAAATTGGTCTGTATAGAGACCACATTTCCTGATAAAGACCAATTGGTCTGTATAGAGACTACAATTCATTATAATGACCGATAGGTCCTCATAAGGACCAATTGGTCTGTATAGGGATTACTTGTCCTCATAAAGGCCAGTTGGTCTGTATAGAGACCACAGGTCCTCATAAAAACCAATTGGTTTGTATAGAGACCACAGGCCCCCATAAAGACCTTCTTTTCTTCTTAATAAAATCTAATTTCCCCCTGACTTAATGAAGACTTTCCCGAACCGCTTCGTAATTTCATAACAAACAAAGACATTTAAATGCCCCGCCATTCATCCACTTAACTTGTGTAAGAATATTTGTTCTCTTTGGGTGTGTTTGTGGTTTTTTATCCTCTGACTCAGGGGGATATTACATTACTACCACGATTCGGAAGAAAATACATTGGCTTTGTTAGAGGGCGACAAACAAAATTTCCTGTATTACAGCACGAGGCGAACAAAGAATCTTAGAATCCTTTGTCGTCTGTGTAATCACACACAAACACACCACACACAAATGAAGGTGTCCATGTGTATAAGTGCACATGAAAGTTTACAAATATTTCCTGAATCCACCAACTATGCACCGCCATTTCATTCCTCAAGTACTTTGACCTTTTTCCGTAAATTCCCTTGTCTGCTTTTCCGCTTTTTTACAACAACAACAACTAATTGCTTATAATTTTCTTTTTAAAGGTTTGAAAGACGTTAGCGGAATATCAAGCCAATAGCACACAACGTTAGCGGCAATTGTCAAAAGTGGCGCCCAACAGTTTCTGTTATGCATTTTTGGATAGACAAACGTTCTCCACAATGTGGTTTTGGACGATCACGTGTGGCTGCCTCATTGTCGGGAGCTGGCGGTGGCGCCGGGGTAAGTTTTGGTCATCCGCCGCGGAGAACAAATAAATCCACAGCGGCGGTACATCGTCAGCAGCAGCAGCAACAACAGCATCATCAGCAGGCGGCCCAATATCATCAACATGCCGGTGGAGGAGGAGGTGGCACAGTTAATGCTGCAAATTCTCCACATTATGCCGGTGCCAGTGGTAGTGGCGGCAGCACTTCTCATCAGCATTCCCAAAACAATAATAACAATAGCCATAATCCCGCTGGCGGATTAACTGTACCAACCCATATGTCTTCTTCGTCGTCGAATAATCGCAATCATGCTTCCCGAACTAGCGCCAATGCTCATCACTATTACAACAATAATCGAGGACATGGACAGTCAGGACATCATGGCAGCAGCAGCATTACTACAACTAACACAACAGGGGTCAGCACACCAACAACGGCAATTAGTGGGGCAGCAGTGGGAACCGCAGGTTCCACAGTCACAGCCACATCATCATCACCAGCAATAATTAATTCTAGCAATAATAACCATGTCAACAGCAGCAGCAGCACCACCACAAATGTCACCAACATTGTCACTTCGCCCACGGGTAATAATTCCAATTGCACCACCTCTTCAACGGCAGCCTATGTTACATATAGTCCATCGGCTGTAGGTCACATCAGTAGTCAGCATCATTTGCAACAACAACAACAACAGCAGCATCAGCAACAAAATCCCTATCAACAGCAACGTTATCGTCATCCACAGTTTGGTAATATGTCGGTAAGGACATATCCCGCAGCGGGAACGGGCCATCAACAGCTATCCCAGCTACAACAACAATCAACTGCTGCTAATACCAATGTTGTTCTTCAGCACCACCATCATCATCAGCAGCAGCCACCATTAACTGTGGATTCTGGATTGAATCCAATACCGGAAGCATCATCAGTTCAGCATCAAAGGTAAGTGAAGAATATATACCGCAGGTCCTCAAAAAGATCAATTGAATTGTTTAGAGACCACAGGTCTCCATAAAGACTAATTGGTTTTCAAAGAGACCACAGGTCCTCATAAATACCTATTGGTCTGTATAGGGACTATATGTCCTCATAAAGACCAAATGTCCTCATAAGGACAAATTGGTCATTAACAAGAATAAGTCTGTGTCGAAGCCATAAGTCCTCATAAAATCCAATTGGTCTGTGAAGAGGCCACAGTTCCTTATAAAGACCAGTTTGTCTGTATAGAGACCACAGGTTCTCATAAAGATCAATCGGTCTGTATAGAGACCACAGGTTCTCATAAAGACCCATCTGTCTGTATAGAGACCACAGGTCCTCATAAAGACCAATTGGTCTGTATAGAAACCACAGGTCCTCATAAAGACCAATCGGTCTGTATAGAGTCCACAGGACTTCATAGACAACCTTTGTGAGTTGCGGTATTATTTCCGGTTCTTCATCTCAAGGAGCTGTATAGCCTCTGTCTGTAGCCTTCAGGCTCAGATATAATCCAACATTGGAATGAATGTTCTCCAACACCAGTCTTGTTTAGAAAATCCGTCCCCCGTCTCACCATTGCTGGTTGAATAATATCCACGACTTTGGGACAAGTCCAGCTTTAATTGTAGTCCTTCAATTTCCCCGAACTAAATACAGTTTCGAGTCTAACTGCTGCATATGTTCGATTAAACCATCTACAGCTTTCTTGTCGTGGCGAGGAATTTCGGATCCTCATCAGCTTCTGTCTGCAGTCTTCAGGCTTAGATATAATTCGCTGTGTAGAGATTTTAGCAGTCCCTCATTATCAGAAGCCACATAGCCTCGCCCCCTTTTCACTTCCTTCCTAAATAGTCTCCCTAACACTGGATTGTTAGGCGACCTTGTGTCCATCAGAGTTTACGGTTTGCAATTAGGGTCACGACTGTATTCGAACTGAGCCTTGTTGATACCTGGGCGCCTCAACAAGTTTTTTCTGGCTTGGCTGCCGAGTCCTTACCATGCATGGTAAGAAGCTTTGTTGAGGCTGACCATCACTCTGGACGATGTCAACGCAAGCCTGGAAAGGCATACATACCTTCTCCTCTACCTTATTGAGAAACCCGCTCCTTCCGCTTTAGTCAGGAGAGTATTCTGACTCATTTTTGGGTTGACATACCTTCTCCTCGACCTAATTGAGGAAACCCGGCTCCTTCCGCCTTAATAAGGAGAGTATCCTGACTCATCTCTGGGATGTGTCAACCTTGACAGACGAGAAAAACGCTATGAATACCACTGTGATTAGCATTACGGTGGCAATGGCCATCCTTGTGAGTCCTACAAATCAAGGAGAATCTTCGACGATGATGATAAATTATGCAATTCCTGGCAATGATGAAGATGGATACAATCCCTGGCGAGGATGAATATCCCAACACAATTTCACGGCGTGCAGCAAAGTCTCGAAGGCAAGTAGAGGCTTGTGCTGATGATCTTTATATAGAATCGATGGATAAATCATCAACACAAAACTACTAACCGATTTATTGGGCGGCACATGGGCGCTATTATTATTCTATTTACATATATATCAAAGAGACCTACGTAATCGCTAGATGTACGGCAAACTGCGTCGTACACGTCGGTAACAACAATGGAGAATCTTGCCATGAGCGGCAAGGGTGATGTGAACTTCAATCTTCCTTCAGGTTTTATTTCAGCATCTTCAGCTCTCTTCCGAGCACCATCTTCTTGCTGTGCGGTTAATTTAATCAACTGTGATCCTAGGGAACGATTTTCTTTCTTCAATACCTGCAATTCTTCTCTATAAAGTCGTCGATACTTAAGATACCTTTAGGCCTCGTTGGAACTTCAATCTTGCTTCAGGGCTAACATTGGAATCTTCAGCTCTTTTCGGAGCATCTTCTATTTGTTGTACAGTTAGTTTAATCAACTGGAACTGAAGATCGTGCATTTGTTAATATAGGTCACGGAAATTCTTTTCAGTCTCTTCATTACCTTTAGGTCGTCAATTTTCAATCAATTCAAGCCTAACTTTGGCATCTTCAGCTCTCTTCTGGACACCTTCTTCTTTGTGTGCGGTTAATATAATCAACTGTGATCCTAAGGAACGATTTTCTTTCTCCAACACCTGTAATTCTTCTTTACAACATTGTCGATACACCAGATACAAAGTCTGATTTTTATAGACTTCATAAGTTGCCATTCGGGATCCTTAGCATATTCCTCCTCAGCCTTTTTCTATAACCTAAAACTAATACTTTTTTCATATTCTTTCCAGTCCGATTCAAACTGCCAATATAACCGCTGAACTGTATCAATCATCACCGCGAGTTGTAACGGTATTTCCACGACCAGTTTATGCCGGCAATACCAATAATCCGAACAGCAGCAGCAGCGGTAACAACAACACCACCACCAGCAACACTGCAAATCCACGACGCCGCAATGTCACACGATCCATTGAAAGTGTCGGCTTGCAGTTTCTTCCGTTACACCTGAAATGTGGCATTTTTGCTTCTCTGGTCCTGGCAATAGCCTTTATTGTCGGCATTAAAGTCTACTTCAATAATCATGGCACGAAGTTTGAAGTTGGCCTCTTTTGGTTACTGACCGCCACCTTTGTTTTCGCTTTCTGTTTTGTATCGATTTGTAAAGTGCCGAGTATATTGTTCGCCGCCTCATCGGCTTCATCACGTTCGGGATCGCGGGATCAAACGGCAGCGGTACGTGATCGTTGTAGTATGGATGATGCAGCACGTGGTTCTGTGGTCAATTCCATAGATGATGTGGTGCTCAGTAGTCTACAGGAATTTCAGCAGCAGGAAATTTTGGAACAACAAATGTCACAAGCTGTACAGGCCCAGCAACAGGCAGCGGGACCACCACCATATCACATAGCCATTTTGCTGCCTGCGGAATCAAAGGCGAAAGAAGATATTGAACAGATTGAAGAATCACCACCACCGTCCTATGATAAGATCTTGATATAAAAAGATGATGAAGAAATTTTTTGTTGGGCGCCGCACCGTTAAATGGCGATCAGAATGGCGGTAAGAATTTTTATTAAGAAGAAAATCTGAAAAAATCCGAAATTAAATTTATAATATGTAGTATATGATAAAATTTATACATACCTATATATACATATATACACCCATGATATTTATAATTAAGTTCGTATTTTTAGTCCAGGGAAAAAACACGAGTTACTCGTTCGGATTATTTACACATGTGACACAATATTTATCTTTTAATTTTTTTGATATGACTTTGTAAGAAAATAGAAAAAAAAATTAGAATGATTAGTTTTTTGTAGGTCTTCCCTGATTTTTTTAGATAATGAAAATGTTGTAGGTTAATTATAGGAAGGTGTTAAAAGTTAGGAATATTTGTTAGGTGATGGAAATATAATTTTCCAATTTTGTATAGTAGGTAATGATAGTGGGTCGTGAAAAGTAATAGGTAAAGAGGAAGAGTAGATTTTTTGAAGGTAGATTGTAAAGTACATTTTTAATAAGAAATTTAGAGGTGAATGAGATTCGAAGCCTGTATAGCTAGAATATTAGATCTGATTTTTAAAGATGACAGTTCACAAAGTTACCCGGATATTATGCCAAGACTGACCGGCAAGCATACTTCCAATAACGACCAAGCCCTCAGAATGTTGCTGAACCTCTTCCAAAGACATAATGCTGTGGCTTTCTACAATTCTCACTGTATAAGTTCGATGTATTACTTACGGAAATGTATTTGTTCGATACATTGTTTCCCCTTCTACAGCATTACAATTAAACACTTTATTTTGCCACTTATACCTTTAGATTACTTACCTCTTGCGCTTCCACTTCTCATCTCATCTATCATCATCTAAGTTCGTGCACATGTTCTTCTAAATTACGACATTTCTTTTCAGTGTCTTCATCCTTTACTCCATTGTTCCATCAATCACCTTCAGGCCACCTTTCTGTCAGGTTAATTTAATCAACTGTGATCCTAAGGAGCGATCTGCCTTATTCAAGAAACGTAATTGTTTTATATAACGTTTTTAGATCTTCACTTCTTAATCTATACCTTTAGATTACTTACCACTAGCGCATCCCCTTCTTATCTATCCCAAATTCGAGCTGAAGTTCGGGCACTTGTTTCTCTAAGTCATGATATTTGCCTTTCAGTCTCTTTATCCTTTACTTTTAGTTCTCATTGAAACGCCACTATTCAATCAATCATCTTCGGGTCACCTTCTTTTTGGTGTCAGGTTAATTTAATCAACTGTGATCCTAAGGAACGATTTGCTTTCTTCAATAAAAATAATTGTTCTATACAAAGTTGGTAGGTCTTCACTTCCTAAGCTACACCTTTAGATTACTTACCTCTTGCGTTTCCGCTTCCCAGCTATCCCAAATTCGAACTGAAGTCCGTGCACTTGGGTCTCTAGGTCACGATATTCCTTTTTAGTCTCTTCATCCTTTACCCTTCAGTCCCGTTGCAAGTTTAGTCATTCTTCGTGCGGGTAATTTAATCAACTGTGATCCTAAGGAACGATTTTCTTTCGGCAATTGTCACAATATTTGCAGGTTATTTAATCAACTGTGATCATAAAGAACAATTTCCTTTCTGCAATTTTGATGCAATTCTTCTACATAACGTTGTCGATAAGCCTTTCGTCGACGTCGTGGTTTGTCATATCGCGATCATTCAATGTTCCTTCATGGCTAACTTCGGCTCTCTTCAGCCTATCTTCTCCTTGCTGCGCATGTTATTTAATCTGTGATCCTATGGAACGGTTTCTGTTTTCAATTGTTGTAATGCTTCTGCATAAAGTTGTCGATTCGTCAGACACAATGACTCCTTTTCGTTGACTTCGTGATTTGTAATATCGTGATCCTCAGCATTCTCAGAGAGTCTGCAGCAACGGATCCCAAACGCCAACAATTTTTAAAGACTGCATTGCATTCTTCTTCCCCAAGAGAGTGGAGTTTTGTCAGCATCGCTGCTCCCATTTTCGTTACAAAAAAGGAAGTAAAAATTGTTGCACTTCTTAGTTGGAGGTCAACGAAATATTTTTAGATATTAAGACAGCATTTCGAACTTCTGAGCTGATTTATAGGTATGTGACCTACCTTGGACCTAGAGCGGTCCTATTTCAAGGGATAAAGGTGATATTTGTGATGTAGATCTTATAGATCTTGCTCATTTCCAAGATCTGAAAAAGAAAAAAAATTCCACTTCTCAGATTAGGTCCACGAAATAATTTTATATTTTTAGGTGTGATACCGCGGGCTTAGAACGATTTTATTCAATTGGATGAAGAAAAGTTCTTCTTACCAAAAAGGGCGAGAAAAATGAAAGGAGTTTTTCATTCGTTTTTTTTGAGACGATAAAAAGTGAACTTTGTTCGCCATTTTAGATGAAGCCAAGAAATCATTTAAGTAGACCTTCAGATCTTCTAAAATAGTGCCTCCTCCAGATCATCAATAACAACATCCCCAAAACATCCATAAGAAGACCACCAGATATTTTGTAAGTATAACTCCAACTCGAAGAGATGAGAGGAGAAGAGAAGAGAGGAGATCTTCTTCTAGAATCATATTAATAAGAAAACCTCTAGCTATTCGATAAGAACTCCAACAGATCTTATATAAAAGATATTCAGCTCCTCTATAATAAGAAACCTTCCTTTATGTATGTTGGGTGCGGGATATGAAAGCAGACGCCAAGGCAATTTTGGGGACAGTTTAAGTGTTAACTGTTCTAACCGACAATATTCCGAAACTGTGGTTTTGATACGAAGACGAAGGACCAATTCCTTAATACAACGGAGATTTTGAAAGGGCTTAGTTTCAATCGAAGGATAAGGAAAGAAAAGAAGACGATATGGTAATTTTGAGGATAGTTTAAGTTTTTCTGAAAGTTTACTGAGCTTCCTTTAGGCAGACTGTATAATTTTGTGTAGGGAGAAAGTAGACTAGAAAAGAGGCCCGGCAATTTTCCAAAAGGAGATTTTGAAAATGTGGAGTTTTGAAAAAAGGACATCAAAGCCAAGGACCAATTTACTGATCTTCATTCATTTGTATGCGTA